GTACTCGTGGTATACAGCAGTAACAGTTGGGGTTGTCTCGCCTGCAGATTGTCGGACTTTCAGACAGTCCCAAGCATTGAAAGGTGTTCGATAAGAATCCACACAGTAGACAAAATCCTCAGTCATCTTCACACCTGCCTCTAAGCTTTGTTCATTTGGTCCAGTGACAGTTGGGTTGTCAAATGGTAAACTTCCCTTCAGGCTGTCGTCAGGAAGAGATAGGCCATGCTTGAACCTTGGCCTCTTTTGGAGAGAGTCTTTCATGGTACTGCTGTAATGTGAGACCGAAGTATCTCGTCACTGCCTGAGTAGCCTGTCTTTGTTGGGTGAGGTTTATCGAGGAACTTTTTTTGCGATCACACTTTAGAGAGCACCATCCTTGCCAGACCTGGTGGAGTTTGGCGGAGACCTTCATTGCTGATGGACACGGACCCTTTTGTTGCTTCTTGAAGGCTTTCAGCATCAGCTTGGATGAGTTTCTCCAGGCTGGTCTTGATCAGGTTGTAGTCACTCTTGGAGATGTGAAGAGAATACCAAATTGTGGCCAAGCTGGTGGCAATGGCATCACTGTCTGAATGTTGAATCAACATGTAAAGGAACAGGACATTCCTAGCCATGACGTAAGGGTCCCAGTCATTCAGCACAATAGACAGTTTTCCCTGGTACTTTGCAGGCAAGGAAGCAGCCGTCAGCACAGTGTTCGGTAGATCTCCGCATCCAGCTGAGAGGATTTTGAAGTCGCTTGCTGTCTCTTCTTCGTTGATTCCATCTGCCCATTCATTCTTCTCAAGCTGAAGGAAATCACATGCCATCGTGTTACCAAAGTAACAAGGAGGGTCCAGGACTTCTTCCCGAGTGTGAGTAACATCATGCTTTACAAGTTCAGTGTACTGTTTAGTCAGTTTATGAGAGAGACCTTCAATAAATTCCTGGATGCTTTTGCAGTCCCCCTTGTGAGCTGCTCAGTTCTTCCTTTGGCATTTGCCATCGCAGTATCAGGCGTTGTTGCATTCTGAACACTGCAAGTGAGAAAGAAATTGCAGTAATTAATCACAAGAGTGCAAAAATGGAGTCCACTTTTAAAGTCTTGCAGTTTGAGATTAATGTTGTCTCATACTTTATAGACACTCCTTGAAGGAACTGCGCACGGTGCTACTTGGATGTGATCTACTCACGACAGTTCAAGGTGGTATGAAATATACTGGTCTGGCATCGGAATAAATGAATGCAGTGATTGTTGACTGGACATTCTCGTCAATGGCCCCCTTTAATGGCAGAAAGCATCTTGTTGGTATTTGTAGTGACTGTCACAGAACAGTGGCTCTGTACAATTAGTATCACAGTGCTAACTACCACTGGTGGGGCCACTGGAGATGACCAGTGATAGTTTGAACATGGTCCCTCTGGATTCATCTTTAGCTGCAGTTTATACACCCGGATGGCATTAACTTGGCATCAGTGTATGAGAGAATGGCACCAAGCACGGGCACCTGACAGAAATAGCATATCTGTCGTTCAGCTGCCCTTCGATGATGTGAAGGTAGTGTCAGTATGCACAGTGTGCCGCCATGGGCATCATGAGATGTAGAATAAGTACAGTACATCTAGAGGTTTAGGAAAGGATTAACTTTAGAATGTTTTTTATGGTGTATTGCATGTTGGCACTGGTTGCTAGTTATATGTTCATGTTTCACATTTGAGGTGTGGGTTTGTAATGAAACTGACCTGTTTCAGATCTCCTCTTTTCTTGCAATGACTGCAACTTTTGGGCCCAAACACCTGGCATTCCACGGCACCGTGCCTGACACGGTCTGGTTTCTTGCACGGATCGCTGCAGTACACGGCCTTTGGGCAGCGATCACATCTCACAGCGTGCTGTGGTAGCTGTTTCTCACAACGCCAGCAGTGGCCTGGTTTGACATCCATGGTTGTTTGTACTCAGTTGTGAATGAATAAAAGTTAGAGGGGGGTGTGTTCTTTCTTGTGAAGAGGGGAGGAAGGGGGTGATTTTGGCAAAGAGCCAGAGTAAATAGTTTTATTTTGCATGGCCTCAACTAAGTCAAATTTACTGGTATATATATATTTTTGCTCCATCCTTGTACCAGTAGATGAACGTGTGTATGTAGTCAATATATGCTAACACAGCAAATGGCTGATAGCACAGAAACTTTTGGATCCCAAGTCTTTGTTTGGTTGTTTCATTGTCTTATAATCCAAGGCTGCTGTTTGAACAATTCCCAAGGACCTGTTCTAGTTGTGTTTGACTGTACACTGCACAGCGGTGACAAATGTTCAGGTGTGGAAGTAAAAAACAAAAAGATTGTCATCCTTAGCGTCAACTTCACCGTAGTAATTTACAAATTACAATCTGCCATAGGCATGCTTAATCACACAGGGCACCAGTGAAAATGACAGTAAGTTCCTGTTTTTTCATTACAGTACTGAGTTTACAAGAATCTTTGGCTTCAATTACAACCATTTCACATTTTTAGACAAAAAAAATTCCTTTAGATATGCCCTCAATGATTTCCTGTTTGTCTCAAAGTCAAAATCAGCAAAATCGGAAGTCACACGGGGATAACAGTGTTACCAATAGTGAGCGAACAAAAACCGAAAAGATCATTTCACCAGGATAACTCACCTTATAGACACTTGCCTCTTGAAAGCCAAACACACAGCTAGTTTTCCCCAAGAGTTTAGCTGTATACAGAGAAAGTACACATACTTGTACATTTGATCACGTCTTCTCGTCTGTTCCCTGCTCTTGTTTTTCACTGTAGCGTTGCAGCAGTATGAATTTTTTTAATATATTTTTTTATTTTTTATTATTCCACATGTTCCAAGGGAAAGTGGGTGTGTTTCTCATTCCGGAAATTCCGGGGAAAAAAATACGTGTACGTGTTCAAGCACAAGCTGGGTCCTCTTTTAGCATGCAGGAATGAAACTGTTCAATGACATGGCAACTTTTTTTCTCACTCCCATCTTACATGCAAGTCTCTGTACCAATCAGGAAAAAGGAAATGCACCGCAAGTTTTCACATTTTCCAGACTTTGAGAGAAAAAAAAATTGTTCATTTTTTATGACTGTCCTTTTTTGTCTACTTTTTCTGTCTTCTTTTTCTGAATCTGAAACGGCATACCAAGACGTTTCATTCTCAGAAGAGAGCAGTGATATACTTCTGCTAGAATGCACAGAAGTCGAGCTGATTTCAACTGTGGCCCCAGTGTCATTCGAAGTGGCTTTTTGTGCCAAGAATGAACACAAGGGCATTTTGCATTTTACCCTCTCCCCCCCCCAAAATAACCGAAGACTTCTGGTGTCTTCTCCAGAATCGAGTTTCAAACCCAGACCGTTATGTGGCGTCAGCCATGACCTTTCATACAGTTTTTCGAAAGCAACACCCATTCAGACAGTGGCTGTGCTTGTACCGTGCACAAGAGGCATTGTTGGTGTTGAGTATTAAAGTTTGTGGGTACAGTGTCTAGGATTGTAAATGGCACTCTGCCTTCTGCCTTCTTCAATAAAGCAGGAAAACCACTAATAATACTGCCGACTTTCTAGTGGAAGTCAGAACCCTGTGTGCAATGCAATATTAGAGCAGTAGCATATGAAATACGTAAACCTTTGCACAAATGCTGAATTGCTGTTATAACCTGGGAAAATGGTACACTTATGAAAAAGAGAACTCTGGGGGGAAATTGCTTGCACAAAATACTAGCCAACTAGGGATCAACTACGGACAAATCGCGAGGTCTTTCTAACAAAAAATGAGACAGGACAGAAAAGTGTTTGATCTCAGAAAAAATATGTCAAAAGACAAAAAAAAACTACTTTATTCAACAACCAAGAACCAATCTGTAAAAAAAATCTGTAATCTGTTGGAATACTTCCTAGCTAACTGTGAACTTAAGGAAACCTACTCTTTCAGATGAAAGTCACCTCTACTACACGGCAGTATTAACCCTAACCCCCTAGGGTGTATGTAAAATTGTATAGAAATGGGAGGATTTGGGAGTGTTTAATGTTGCTAATGGCTGTACAACGTAAATGTATGTTCAACATTTGCCTTTTTTTTTTTAGAATGAATCACAAATTTTCCCTCCAACAACTGGTGGAGCTGAGAAGATGGCAGACGATCTCAAGATACCATTCTTGGGCAAAGTTCCACTGGACCCAAGAATAGGTAAATTAGCTTAGCTAACATAAAAATCATTGGGTTTGAAAGGGGCACTGCTTTTAAAAATGGATGATTCCCTCTGATGTTAGGATCACAGCATTGTAATTTTTAAATACAAATGTTCACAATAAACCACTTTGTCTCAATTCAAGTCATGCACAGTTTTGTGTCACTGTTGTAAACGGCACTTTGGTACCTTTTGGTTTTATGCTAATGAGTATTTCTATATTAATAAACAAAACTAAGTCATTTGGGGAAGAATACTTGACAATATAACATTGGTTTGTGCACAAAAACTGCTGGATTTTTGATTAGATATATGTATTTTGCTGGCCTGAACCTGAATTAACTTGTAGTTGATGATTCAGTACACCTATTCTCAGGTCCCTGTGACATGACGTGACTTTAAAAGTTTGGAACGCATTAATTTGAAGGAGCGATTGAGGAACGTAATCTACCAGCAAAACTTGTACAAAAATTAAGTTAATTTTAATGCTTTTCCATCCAATTACTCAGGTCTTGTGTAATCACTTATCACTTTAGACTTCAAATAACAGAATGACCTTAATCCTCTTCGAGAGCAGTACAGATATGGTTTACAGTCAAGTCTGTTTGGTTCCCTAGGTAAATCCTGTGATGAGGGAACATCTTTCTTCGAAGAGGTGCCTGACTCCCCAGCAACACAGTCTTACTTGTCAATCATCAGCAGTGAGTACCGAGTCTTTTCCAAGTGCATTGGAGGTTGAAGTCAGAAGTTTTCTAATAGCTATTGTTATCAAGAAGTTTTTCTGTGCTCCTCATTTGAACATATCTTGGAGTTGAAAACTGAAATGTTATTGCGGTTGTGACTTGGTGTATCGTACTGATACCTCCACGTATGCAGGTTTCAAACATTCACTTTACTTTATAAAGGTGACGCGTTTCAAATCTGTTGTTTTCCCAAAGTTGCAGAAAGTGAAATGCGTAATTGTTGAAATTGTTGGGTCAGTTACATTTGATGAATTAGTTGGAGATTACCTCACCACAGGCATCTTAGTTTATTTCTGTTTTACCTGTGCAGAGTTGAGGAACTACTGTCATAAAGAAGGCCAGATGGAACGTTCCATGGACTGCTCATAGCTGAGTGAAAAGTCAACTAGTTAAAGGGTAATGTGTCCAACGCTCCACGTCACAAAAGCAGGCCTGGGTTATTTAACAGACACAGCAGGAGCTGTGCTGAGGGCCTAGCAGGCCTGGGTTATTTAACAGACACAGCAGGAGCTTTGCTGAGGGCCTAGCAGGCCTGGGTTATTTAACAGACACAGCAGGAGCTGTGCTGAGGGCCTACAATTAATTTTAGGGGTTACAAAAATGTCATTATGACAAACAGCATACAGTTTTTAAAGGTTTGATCTTTCAATTTTGATTCTTGGGAAAGTTTTAAACCATAGTCACTGATCAGATCAACATGAAATGCAATATGCTTACCAGACCTATAAAATCGATGTTGGTACCCCGGGCAGAGAATAAGGCCCAGGGAACTCTGGTGCTTTAGGCCTACATTTATGGAACACGAAGGATGGTGTACGCAACAGTGGAGATTAAGCAAATTTTTGGAATGATGGCGAGCACGAGAGCCCGGTAACCTGACCAAATTTTGAACTTCTGTATTTGACCCTACCATACTGCCTTGACAACCACCAGGCATGGCCAAAATGAGTACACCACGGTGGAAACATACCTCCAGGTTCTGTTCACCAGTGTTGACAGCAATCACTTCGTACAGATGTTGTGCCAACACCGTCAGTGGTGCTGGTGCCAAGTCTGTCATTCAAACTGGTGCTAGTAACGGTGGCTCTAATACTGGAAAGCGTCCAAGCTAGAAAAGAGGCTTTCTTCAAGTTTGGGTTTTACTGGTGTCTCATCTGCTCAATATTGTAATCCCAGGGGAAAAGTTAAGCCACGTAAAAACTGAACGTGTAGTCTGAAAATGTGTGGTGTCGACAACTGTGCGTGTTAGATTTATGCAATGGTTTTCCAAATTTTGTGAAAAGGAGCCTCCAGCAAACATCTGAGGGTATTCTATTTTTGACAACAAATATGCGGACATGTACATGACTCTTTGAAATAGACGTTATGCATTGCTGGCGCCTCCATGGTGTCTCAGATGCTGGTTTGGTTATTTTGATTTAGTTACAACGAATGCACAAAAGGTTCACTCGAACCTATCCCAGTGATAAAAAACTCTCGCCCTCCGAGGATGCCTTCATGCACAACCTCCACTGTCAGAATGTATGGCGAATAAATAGGGCAGTCCAGGTGGAAAGAGATCACCGGAGGAGTGTTGAGCACTTGGTGCACTTTTCTAGTGACGGTTGTGAAATTTTTATGGTTAATTTCATTGTTACCCAACTTTGAATTCCCTCAGGGAACTAATGGCCATATTCACCACTCACCAAGAGTATTTTTCCACATTGTACTCGTACGGTATTATATTGATGTAAAATGACACGATACATGTACCACGAAACAGTCCTTAGCAAAGTTGAACTTGACATATGCTGGCCCGTGATGGTCATTTGTCCAAGATTTGTTGGACATTTCTTCACTGTGCCATCCCTTTTTCAAATCTCCCAGACCTGGAGACTGTCAGGAGCGGTACATGTATTTGCTACAGTGCCCTTGAGGGCAACACAACATGACCCATGGACTATGTACATGTATTTTGGAGCCTCGTTGTGTAAAAACTCAGTGGGAATCATCGAGCGTCAGGACGTGTCTAGATGTCGCACGTGTAAGTGTCCTCCACATCTCAAGATGGTCTGGCGTGAGGTGGTTAACTCAAAAAAGCAGATTTGAAGGCCATGTAAAAGTAGAAAGTTCCTTTTAATTCAGCCCAGGAGTAAAAATATGTGTTATTGCACTGCAGTGATTTACACATATTTATGGCTCTAACAGGTGCAAAATACTTTTGATACAAAACATTGTACAGTAATTAAACCTTTGTGCAAAAACGGAAGATTACGTAGTAAAAAGATGAAAATAAAGCCTAAAGGAAAATTCTATTCATATTTCTAGCTGCCACATTCTAGGCTACATCCCTTGTTATACACAAAATATTGTTAATAAGTTTCTAAAACAACAAAGAGGGAAACCGATCATGCCAGCACTGAGGTACAAAAGTAGTGTCGAAGTAACAACCTCACCTGCGCCCAAATAAAGAAGAAAACTCTCAATGAAATTAACGAATGACCTTGAAATGGACATTGCATTAAATAAGCTGTAGCGTGTATTTGAAATCTGTAAAATTCAAGAATCGGGTCAGGGATGCCAGCCACGTTCTTGTCTAGAGCCTGAAATTAGTCCAGTATCTCAAGGGAAAAAAGCCTGAGATAGGTTGTGGCCTGACGCTGGCATCCCTGTTGGATAATTACAAAAAATAAAGGTAACAGCAGTTGACAAAACACAGTACAGAGCACCATGAAGTGTTTGTATCAATGAGATCACCTCATCAATTTCACAGTCAACATCTTGTAGACATTATCCTGCAGCTAATTATACTTTTTACTGTCACACAAATGTAAATGTTTGGAAGCCTTGTCAATTTTACATGTGCATTACTCATGAGCACCAATTCCACCTTCATTCACAGATGTCCAGACGACATAAGGTCCAAAATTCACCGTTGAAAACCGTCTTCATATCCAGTTATTTCAGTTCATGAAGCCAAGTTTAAGTAAATAGAAAACTAAACAAAATACTTTGAGTTACTGTGCAAAACTTTTTTCTCTATGGCAATAGGTTTTGAGTAGGTGTTAATCTTACAAAAATGAGTACATGAAACAGTGGCAAAAATTGTTAGTCATTCTACAAGTAACTTTTAAAACTTTTCTTGGTTAAAATGAAAACGGAAAAACAACTCTACGTCTGTAATTAAAACAATCAAAAATTCATGTCAACTTCAATGTAGTTTGTACACCTTTAAAAGCACAAAAGAATCCACAAACAGAAATACCTTGAATACTCAAGGCACTGACCTTTTTGTGACCTTTCCCATTTAAGTAAGGTTTGTTTGTGTAATATAAAAAATATATGTTCACAGGATTGTGAACCCTTCCATCTGAAAATGGACAGAAATCATGTCATCATTTTTCTGCATTCACCAAAGACAGGGTATAGAGTGCAAACACATGGCACATAGGCTAGCAAATCAATCTTGGAATGAATTTGATCACCACACCGTCATGGTTGGTATGCTGATGCGAGATCACAGGTGGAATATATATGAAGATACTTCACACAAACATACTGCCGTGTGACATAACCCTGATCAGTTCACATCACATTTACTTGAGGTTAAAAAATTCCTCGCCAGCAAGACTTGTACATCTGCCAATTTTACAGTCTATTCAGGGAAAAGGAAATACTTTAAAATAGTTTGCCCTCAGTCCAGCAGAAGGGAATTGGTTAAAAGGGTTTAATTTACGGAAGTTACTTGAGTGATTGTCCAGACGACTGGTATTTTGCAAGTGCTTGCTTTTAAAGACTACCGATTTTGTTTTATAAAAACATGTCAAGGCACTGTAGAGACAGAAAATGAATGTCATAATAACAACACTTGCTCACCTGATTTTTTCAGAAGGCACACTTGCATATTATAGATACCTAGCCCTTCTGCCAACATGCTCTAGGCTTTGAGAAGTTAACAAAGCCTCATTAAAATCACCGTGTTGATTCTCCACTCACACTAATCCCGCATCCTTGGCCATGCCGTAGAAGACACCTTCTGCCTTCAGGAGCTGGGTAGGTTCGTCAAACTCGGCTATCTCGCCACCGTCCAGCACCAGTACCCTGCAGGACAGTGAGTATGTTATCTACAGTCGAACCCTTGCTCTAAATAATAATCACAGGCCACTGACTCCACGTGTAACATTCGGAGTGTTTTGAAGGGTGTGGCTCACTGAGGTCAAACAAGACGAAAGTCAAATGAACTGCGACAAAAGCATTCCTTTGTTTACACTATTATTTGTGACGAGTCTTGTGAAGGGGCTTCAATACGTCTCACTGCAAAAGGACTAGTCTTGTAACACAAATTTACGTTCAGTAAAAATTGCTACATAAAACCTTCAGATTCACAACGCAACTGGTCTTGCTCATGGGCTTTTATAAGGCCTACCCTACCAACAATCACCAACCCAGTTTCACCAGCCTACCTGGTGCTGTCCATGATGGTGTTCAGCCGGTGCGCTATGGTGATGACCGTGCAGTCGGCAAACTCGGTGCGTATCGTAGCTTGGATCAGATCGTCTGTTTCCAGATCCACGGCGGCCGTGGCCTCATCCAGGACCAAGATCTTGGTCTTGCGGAGGAGGGCGCGGGCCAGACAGATCAACTGTCGCTGACCCAGACTGCACAAGCACATACAAACCAACACAAACAATTAACACAATGACAGTTGACTTCCAAAACGGTCCTGGCGAGACAGGGGTTGTGAAGTCATAGCCCACTGTCTTTGATTTAAAACTTCACTCAGCTTTATTCTTGTCAGTTACTCAAAACAAAATTAGTCGCACTTTTTTGTGTTGTCACCGTACCTACTCTAGTCTTCATTATTTACAGAGCTTACTTCATCGTCATCCAACAATGATCAGAAAGTTCACACTTTCCTGATTCCCTCTTCTTCATGATTTGTTTTACCAGGAATGTTCTTTTGTTTTCCTCCCAATGAGTGACCAAACCCTCAACTTCTTCCTTCCCATCCCCTTCAGTTAATGATTGTTAATTTCTTGGAGGTGCATGACGACAGAACAACAGACAGCAATAAACATGTATGAGGTCAAGCCTGGCGTCAGAATGCAGGAGCAAGAATCCTTTTTGCCCCCTTAAAACGGAGACATCAATCAACTCACCTCAGGTTATCCCCTCCCTCGGTGCATTCGTACTCCAGCTTCTCTGGGAGTCCTGACACAAAGGCATACAGGTGAGAGTGTTGCAAGGCGTCCCACAGTGCCTCGTCTGAATATTGATCAAAGGGGTCGAGGTTCATGCGCAGGCTGCCAGCAAACAAGACTGGGTCCTAGAGGAGAGATGACATGCACTTGTCAGCCCCCAAAAAGTGAAAAACTTACTGCCTTAAAAGAGCCGGGATTCCACCCGCTAAGAACTTGGCCGTGCAATGCTTGATTTTTTTAAAACTTGGGCATGCATGTACAGACACTCTTCACTACAAATGTGCAGTTTGAACTCAACTCAAACATATGGTTTTGTTCTTACAGTCATTTGAAGTTCATGGCTATATGCGTGCCAGTCTATGTGCATTGAGCACTGCAGTGGAAAAAGCATATATTTTTGGCTGACCCGTCTCAGGAAAACGTGCGCTGGGCCAGAACAGTGTATTCAACTTTTTGCCAAAAATCGTGTCAAAACGACAGCAAGAGTTACTCTGAACACTGTTAAAGACTCAACTCCTGAAAGAAATGTACTGCAGCAATATCAGAAAAAATGGCGAGGGGAGGGGGCAGATTCCCCCTCCTCCCCCAGGCTCTCTTAGGGTTGGGAAAGGAGACAATACGAATACAGTCAGAGCACAAAGGCAAGGTAGGCAATTTGTGGTTCAAGCCAGTTCATCGACGCGGAGCTTCACCTGGGGTATGATGGTGATGCGTGATCGGAGATCCTGCAGGCCAATGGTGGAGATATCCAAATCATCGATCTTGATGGAGCCAGCGGCAGCCTCCAGGATACGGAACAAGGAGAGAGTCAGTGAGGATTTCCCCGCCCCAGTCCTACCCACAATGCCAATCTGGAGGGAAAAGGTCCAAAAGAAAACCTGACAACTCTCTCTGGAAATTGTAGGTGTGTATTCCAGTTTCAACGGAATGTGTACAATCTATCAAGACAAACACACACCATGTCATTATTTTTCTTTTAAAATGAAAAACCTGTACACACTTCAGGTACAGGCAAACACAAGCGCGACACTGACAACAGATCAACTATATTTGCTGCGAGTTTGCAAAAGGCATTCCCTCCTGTCAATCTACCGCACATTCCCATGTGAACTTTTTTTTAACTGTAACGGAATGTTTATTTGCTGTGTTAGGCCTTACTAAGAAAAGCTGATCACATTGCCTGCGCTGTACAAATCATGACGAAATTGGCAAAATCTGACAAGAAAATGACAAAATCAGACAAATTCGGCCAAATCTGCCAGGAATAAGATATACACGATGTGTGAAAAGCTTCATCCAGTCACGCTTCACTGTACGCAAAGACTGGGAACCATACAACCATTTTCATGTACCCGCTATTGATCTCTGTGTGGCAGTACTCCGGTTCGTCGGTTTAGTGTGGTTGTGGTCAATCTACATTGTACGGGAACTGTTCCCAATGGACTTTTTTTGCGCCCCTGCAATCTTCTGTGACCCTTTTCAGCCTGCTAGGTTTTACATCACAATTGCGGAAAGTTGACAGGGACGCGTGTGTACCCACTGGATTTAATTTTGTAATTCTACAGGAAAGTCGCAGTTAAGTTAACCCAAAAAAGTCGGCTTATAAGCATTTTTTGGGGGAAAGCCGCATGACAGGAAGGTCCAGAGAAGGTCTCAAGCCAAAATCTGGTCACTCTTCGGACCCAACCAACCTTTTCTTTGGCCTTGAAAATGCATGAGATGTCCCTGAGGACTAGATCCAGTCCCTCTCGATAGCGTACACTGTAGCTCTCCACCTCCACGCGTCCCCTGCCTGGCCAGTTTTGGTCTGGTCTGTTGTTTGCCACAATAGCTGCAGCCTGATTAAACAAAAAATAACACAGGAACTTCTGGGGGATTTTTATCCCCTAAGTGACAAAAACTACTGAGACCCTAAAGCCGATGAAATGTATTTTGAAAAAATCCCAATTAAATTCATTGATCTGTTTATCACATGGTGACAGTATCCCACACTGACTAAATATCTCAACCAATCCCATGGTCTTCCCAATATCCAGGAACATTATGGAATGTGGTTTAACAGCTGTGAAACCATCAAGAAAAGGGGTGGTCCATGAATGACATAGGAACAAAGTTTACCTGGACTTCAGAAAAGTAACCGAAAATCAACAGAAAACAATTCTTGAGGTAACAAAACCAGAAAAGGGGGGGGGCACTGTGGTCTTGTGTCTCAAACTTGAAATCCTGAGGGGATATTCTGAAATTCAGAATACTGGACTGGTGCTCTAACAAGTGAGCTAACCAGCCCTACGTCGATGGCTCTTCCCATTTGTCAATTATCTCTGCTCATGGGTGCTAGTCAGAGGCCATGTAACCTGAAACACCATATATCCTGGGATCATGCCCATTTGGCAACCAGGGAAGTGGTGAATAAGGATCACTTAGGAAGGATGCGGCATTTTGAACCCAAATCATGAAACAAATTGTATTGGGAAACTGACCAGGTTGCTTCCATATAATTACGATATACGGTACGATATTCCAGAGGCCGCAAGTTCAAATCCTACTGGAGTCAATTTCTTTGTTCATTTTTTTAATTATATGTAAGCACCTGGTCAGTTTCCCTGTGTAGTTTGCTCCCTATATAGTGAGTTTCAGTATTAAAGTCAGTAACGTTGCAACGCATGTGTTGTTGCTAAGCATGTGTCTTTGGGCAAGATACTTTACCGATACTTTGCTAACTTAACTGTGCAAGCAAAACATTTCAAAGAATACCCCTTCCCTTTCCTCTTGACCACCGTGATGATCAAACCCGTCAAAAGCAATACAGGGATGGCCCAAGAGACATTAACCCTAACCCCCAAGGGTGTATGTAAAATCGTATTGAAATTGGAGGATTTGGGACTGTTAGGGTTAATAAATGGAGACAAGCGGGTAAGAACAAACATCTGACAACATTTTGTGAAGTTTCTGTAAATCTTCTGTTTGAAGATTCAAATAGCCTAGTATGGCCCAAATTCTAGCATCTACATCCAGTCCCAATGACTCAACAGCCAGTGACTCTGCCAATCGAATGTCATCCTGTCAAAAACCAAGTCAAAAGCTTTTCAACTGAATTATGACAAAGGTAGTCCTCTAAACCTTACTGCCATCAACTGCACTGATTTTCTTTTAGAATAGACTGATGTGACATCACTCCTGAGATTGCCTGTACTTCCTAAATCCAGAGATTCCCTTATTTCTCCTTACCTCCGTTTTGACTTCTGTATACTCTTTCACGCGTTCTACAGCAACAATGTTAGTTTCCAGGTCACATGTGACGTGCACGAGCCACGTCAATGCTCCGGTTATCTACAACAACAGGTCAAAGATGTGACCATGGAATTAACTACAGCACCTACTTCTCAACCTCTCTTAGAGTGCTGGATATTTTTCAATCTTATGAATTTCGGTTGTCCTTAAATGAAACCAAGGTTTCCTCAAAAGAGCACAGCAACCGCGGCTCAGAAACCAGAAGCAGCCTAGAGAAAAGATGAGAAAAAACAATTTTGACAAAAGAAATGAGATTCACGGAAAACCCTGGCGATCGGGTAGTGGCCGAAAACCCAATCTGTAGGTATTTTGTTGGAATTCAAACCCGGATGACACAGGTGAAAAGCGAGGAAAGTACCACTGTGCCAACCTTACTCCCAGCATTTGCAAAAAAATTACCTTATTAAGCAAATGTGCCCACTCTTTGCACTTAAATCACAACACTACTCTCTAAATTCCAGAGAGTGAAAACTCAATCTTTTCAAGTGGAAATGCACTCCCGNCAGTCGCAAACTGGGGAGCAGACATTTTTAGAGTGAAATTTCTTCAATCAAAAAGATCAAGTGTTCACTCGAGCGTCAACTGAAGTGATTATTTTTTTCAGATTAGATCAATCTAAAATGAGAGTGACTTTCACTCTAATCGCCTGGTCCCTAGTTTCACTCAATCGGATTTAGAGAACAAAGCCCTGATCCTGTGTAGCAGCACTGGGCATCTGTGCTGAATACATCCAACTAAAGCAAAGCTAGGCATTCAATTTTCATGAATTTAGGAGGCTTAGGATAAAACAAAGAAGTTCTTCAGACTTAACTAGAAACTTAAAGACATACAAAAAATTAAATGCACAGGCTTGAAAATGTATGGAGAATAGACTGATTTACCAGCAATGCGTAGGACACAGATAGACCCACAATCCCTGAACTGATGTAGTCTCGACCAATCACGGCAAAGAGTGCAGCAAAGAAGACCAGTATGTTGCCCAGGAGTTCAAGCCGTAGTGACATCCATCTGTGCACAGGTTGAGATGGGAGAACATAACACTGGAGAAAAATCTTCAAAAGGAACCCCATTTTGAGAGGTCCGGACAACATTTCTTGGTTCTGCTTAGCACATTTCAAGAATTGTTGCTTACTACAGTATAAACGAATCATTCCTGCAGGGCCATTGCACTCACATGCCTGTCTTTAAATCTTGAGCATGTCGAGGGTTAACCACTTCGTGCCGGGATATTTTTCAATGTTGACGATGCTTGGCCGGCATGACTATTATTTTTTCTGTCTTCAAAATCCTTCAAAAATTCATCATTTCATTTAACGGTCGTTTATAGCCGCACGAAGTAATCTTCAGGCACTACTCTAAGTTGATAGGTGACCTTCATTGACGCCCAAGTATTTCAGCCAGGCCAGCAGCCTTGTAAACAGAGCCCAGATTGTGCGGTGTTATACAACTGTCTTTTGTTCACGAACCTGGCTCAGTGCACTGCTGACCTCTTTTCAATAGGGGCCAGATTAGCATGCAGCGGTGCTGTGTGGCTCATCGCTGCGGTGGTGGAGCGCTTTTGTCCCTGGTGGTAATCTGCTCGCTCTCAATGCCCCAAACACTGGTATAGGGTTTCAAAACAAGGGTGGATTATCACCACTTTTGAGAGTGAAAAATGTTGGTAATGCCCAGCANTAGTCGGAAACTGGGGAGCAGACATTTTTAGAGTGAAATTTCTTCAATCAAAAAGATCAAGTGTTCACTCGAGCGTCAACTGAAGTGATTATTTTTTTCAGATTATATCAATCTAAATTGAGAGTGACTTTCACTCTAATCGCCTGGTCCCTAGTTTCACTCATTCGGATTTGGAGAACAAAGCCTGATCCTGTGTAGCAGCACCGGGCATCTGTGCTGAATACATCCAACTAAAGCAAAGCTAGGCATTCAATTTTCATGAATTTAGGAGGCTTAGGATAAAATTAAGAAGTTCCTCAGACTTAACTAGAAACTTAAAGACATACAAAAAATTAAGTGCACAGGCTTGAAAATGTTTGGAGAACAGACTGATTTACCAGCAATGCGTAGGACACAGATAGACCCACAATCCCTGAACTGATGTAGTCTCGACCAATCACGGCAAAGAGTGCAGCAAAGAAGACCAGTATGTTGCCCAGGAGTTCAAGCCGTAGTGACATCCATCTGTGCACAGGTTGAGATGGGAGAACACAACACTGGAGAAATATCTTCAAAAGGAACCCCATTTTGGAGGTCCGGACAACATTTCTTGGTTCTGCTTAGCACATTTCAAGAATTGTTGCTTACTAGAGTATAGACAAATCTGAGGAGACGCCATTCCTGCAGGGCCAGTGCACCCACGTGCCTGTCTTTAAATCTTGAGCATGTCAAGGGTTAAAGACAGACGTTGTCAAGTCGTGACACCCTGCTGGTCGGAGAGGAATGTAATGTGTGCATCACACCTGCAGCAAACAGGATGGCTCTGTAGTAATGGCGTCTAACTTTTGTTGCCGGATTTGTCTAGCTACAAGTCTGGTTATCATATTTCATTGGTGGGCAAATAATGGTTGAAATTCTGTCCTTTCTGCCTGACCTGTTGGATGCTATGTTGGGATAGTACGTCAGCTGGTTGCTGTCCACAAGGAGTTCATTCCGGAGGATGAAGCTCTCTGACCGGCGGTAGGCCCGGATGGAACTGGTGCCGGCAATCGTCTCCGAGAAGTGGGAATAGATGGGCGATCTGGTCACGGACTCCAGCCGCTTCAGCTGCCGAGATGTGGCGATGTAGAATCTCTGCAGAGAAAACGTACAGCAGGGATGAGACTCTGAGAAAATGAAAAAGTCTGAAATGTGTCCGAGTTGTGGGATGCCAGCAGGTGTGAAATGCAAACCTCAGATGAAAGACACGATGACGTCCAATCGCAGCACAAGGCACGGACAATTTATATAGTACTGTGGTACATATCATTTATGGACTGTTTAAATGTTATCTCTGGGCAAATGGAGAAACGTGAATTTTGACAAAGAAATGAAAAGCACAAGAGCGACTTAATAAAAAAGGACTGAATAGGCCTAGATGTGATACACAAAATGTTATCGGCATGAGTATGACTTTGTGTTCCATCTCCCTTGTTTCATTATTTGATGCAAAATGTTACTACTTTCACTAGTTATTTTGGTAGGGTCTATCACACCACAGGCACAGTGCTTTGCCCGGCTTCTTAAATTTCCGAACATGCCAAATGTATTCAGAGAGAAAAATTCCTCCCCTCCAGATGTTGTTTCCACCCATTCCCACCACCAGGAGTTTTCAATGCCTTTGTCGATTTCCTTTATCTGTCCCTCTCCTTGCTGATGAATAATGTCTTTCATGCCCTTGTGACTTGACATGATAATGTGTTGGTAACGTTGCCAACCTCGATCGTGTACACGCTGATGACGCTGAACCACACACAAGAATGCTCTTCATACAGTGAATGTCATTGGTACGTTCGCATTGTTACAAATTTTCTGTCCATCAAAGAGCAAATGAAAATTGTTTAACATGTACCGGTATCTCCAAATCCTGGCCTGGTTTCGGGTCAGTGTGTATGGCAAGTTTGGGATCGGCCACACCCCGTGTGTGAAGCTACAGTGCATGAATCACACTGTACGTGCAGGATAAGTGTACACTTACTGCCATGGAGGAATATAACACAATGGTTTATAATAAGAAGATGCGACACAGGAAGGTAAAATACATGTTGTCAGGAAAACCACAATTTTTTAAATATCATTCCCAAACATTTGTTATATCCGATACTTGAACATCAAATCATATTTCTGAAGAAAAGTATGTCGGAAAGAGTATGAAATGTCCAAACTGAAAACGTCAAGTTTCCATGGTCGGAGATAAAGTAAATATCCTGCAGATCTTGAAATTAAAGTCAGAAAGTCAAAATAAGAAAGTCAAAATTCCCCCAATGGTCGGAAGAATCTCATCCCTGGTACTGACCACAATTACGAATGTTATCAATTTTTCTGCCAATTTTACCTGGACCAGGAGGTACACAACGGTCGTGGGGACCACCACGGCGCAGAACACCGGCGTGCTCCAGGAGATGACAATCAAGGTGGCCACGATCCGGATGGTGGCCGCCAGGTAGGCGGCCAGATTGTTGGGTATGATGTCGTCGATGGAGTGGGTGTCCTTGCTGAAGCGGTTAAGGATCCGTCCCATGGGGGTGGTGTCAAAGAAGGCCATGGGGGCGCGCAGCACGGTGGACAGGAGGCCCTGGTACAGGGAGCGGGCAGCGCGCAGGACCCCAATGGACAGGAAAAAGGAAGCCAGGAGAAGCATAATGCCTGAGAAAAGAAGGATGATGGAGCAGTCAGTCAAGGAAACTGGTTAATTATTGAGACATCAGCTGCATGGTTACTAAAATTGGCCAACACTTGAGTAAGAGAATACAACTGGAAGGCATCTTGATTAGACAGACTGAACCCATGATCCATACGGTGTTTCTTCGCTCTCAAAACATGCATCAGCAAACATTATCAACACCGCAAACCTGACAATAGCGGGAAAATGTGTGAATATTTGCGTTCTGCCCCTCAAATATTTCCAGACTTTTTTCTACCTTGAGCGACGCCCAGGGCGGCATAGACCCCGAGGTATCGGTCCCGCACCTCGGCTGGCTGGGTTCCGTTGACTGGCACCTCGTTACTCCAACGGCTGAGCCAGATATTGGACAGCACCGAGGCAAGGTTGTACAGCACAAAGCAAAGGACGACGACAAAGAAGACAGCACTCCCGAGGGCACTGATGTAAGCTCTGAACACAGACAGCTGAACCTGGATTGGTGAAAAAGATAGAGATATTAGTGTTGGGT